TCTTCCCTCTTCAATATCTGTCAGAATCTTGGCAGAGGTCAAAAGATCTGCTCCTCAGTCACCACTATACAAACACATGGCAAGAAACAGTGTCTGCCTAAGGATCATTAATCTAAACTAACAGACATAAAAAGAAGAGGAGAAACACAGGCTCAGATAAAGTGTCTAGAGCAAGATCAGTGGCAGAGCTGTAAATAAACCACACTATTCTCAAGGTTTTTGTCAATACCCCCCTCCCTCAGTAATCTGAAATACAAACACTATAAGTTTCACCAGACCACTGGGTTTGTGAGTTCTATAACTGAACTACTCAATTTGCCAATCTTCTTTGGTTACATGACTCAGAGTTGCTTTTCAGTGTATAATGGAGGGGAGCACTATACAAACATTGTAAGACAGGGAAGAATTATTCCCATTTTATACAGAGAACCAAGACAGTGGGGGTTCAAACTAGGGAGGCTATTGTAGGCATTCGAAGTTGCAAATGAAGCCGGGGATTTAAATATCCTGGGCTACATTTGCATGTTCCCATCTGGTCACCATTTTGAAATTCCACTAGCGTGAAGTAACTGCCCGTGGCTACACGCAGCAGTGAAACAGCAATTTGAACTAAGTCCTTACTTTGAATTAACTGTTACACCTCATTCTAGGAGGAGTAACAGTTCATTTGAACTAAGGACTTAGTTCGAATTGTTGTTTCACTGCCACGTATAGCCGCAGGCAGTTACTTCGGGCTAGTGGAATTTCAAAATGGTGACCGGACGGGAACATGCAAATATAGCCCAGGATATTTAAATCCCGGGCTTCATTTGCAACTTCGAATGCCTACATTAGCCTCCCTAGTTCGAACTAGGAGGCTAGTGTAGACATACCCTGGGAGATTAACCTACCTGCCCAAGATCCCACAGAAAAGCTAGGTCTATACTACAAAGAAAAGGTGGAAAAGATACACAAATTGTGAACTGCAATTTGTGGGTTTTTTTCCACTTTTCTTTCTAAAGAGATTTTTCCGAAATTTGGTGTATCTGCATGGTGCCACATTTCGGAAAAGCCTTTGCTTTCAAGCCATCCCTTCTTCCTCATGAAACGAGGTTTACAGGGATGGTGAAAGAACGTGCCTGCTTTTCCAATTTTTTTTGAAAAGCGCATGCGCTCCTTGCATTGACATAGCTTTTCTGGGATACCTCTGATATCCCAGAAAGGAGCTGTAGTCTAGAGGTAGCCAAAGTCTGTGGCTGAGGCAGAAATGGAACCCAAATCTATTGATTCCAAACCAGTGCCCCTTTGCTAGACCATCCTTTCTCCAGCATTCCTGGACTGCACCAAGCTATAGAATAATGTGCTATTTAGTATCTTCTTTGGTAAGGCCTAGCTAGCTGTCTGGAAATTCAAGCATTCCCCTTGACAGAGGGATATAACACTTTCTTTGATGATGCGTACTCCATAGTTAATTTAGAGGCACAGAATAGGGGAAGAAAACTTTAGAAGCGCTTCTCTAATATTCACTGACCAGAGACTTTGTTCATGGAGAGTTAAAGTTGCCAGATAATACTTTGTGCCCTTCCAGAACACAGCATTCAGCAAAACTCAGGAGCCAGACAGGAGTCCTCTCTCTTGCTGTCCCAGTACCTGCTAGCAGCTGCCCTGTCTGAAGTGCTATTTTCCTGCAGCCCTTTAGGGGAGCTATTATGGAATAATTATTCTGAAATAGCTTATTTTGAAATAGCACATCTACACTGTAGGGAAGCCTCAAAAATTAGTCCGAGGCAGGCTTCCTTAACGTAGACGTGCTATCTCGATTTAGAGCCCGAGGAGGAATAACTTAGAATGGCCTGGGTGAGGGGCTATTTTGAAACAGCAGAAGTGGAGCATCTACACACACCTTATTTCGAAATAGCTATTTCAGAATAGGCATTATTATTCATGGAATGAGGTTTACAGAAGTCAGAATAAGCCATCTGTTATTTCAAAATTATTTTGAAATAACGGAATTGCTGTGTAGACGCTCGCATAGTTATTTAGGAATAATGGCCGTTATTCCAAAATAACTTTGCTGTGTAGGCACACCCCTAGGCTGAGTCTACATTGGCAAGATTTTGCGCAAAAGCAATTGCTTTTGCGCAAAATCTTGCCAATGTAGACTCAGCCTAGGGGTGTGCCTACACAGCAAAGTTATTTTGGAATAACGGCCATTATTCCTAAATAACTATGCGAGCGTCTACACAGCAATTCCGTTATTTCAAAATAATTTTGAAATAACAGATGGCTTATTCTGACTTCTGTAAACCTCATTCCATGAATAATAATGCCTATTCTGAAATAGCTATTTCGAAATAAGGTGTGTGTAGATGCTCCACTTCTGCTGTTTCAAAATAGCCCCTCACCCAGGCCATTCTAAGTTATTCCTCCTCGGGCTCTAAATCGAGATAGCACGTCTACGTTAAGGAAGCCTGCCTCGGACTAATTTTTGAGGCTTCCCTACAGTGTAGATGTGCTATTTCAAAATAAGCTATTTCAGAATAATTATTCCATAATAGCTTATTCCAAACTAACTGTGCAGTGTAGACGTAGCCTCGGAAACCAGTCCTTCCGCTTAGGCTCTCTGCAACAACTGAGCTACTCTGCCTGCTGCTACCTTTTATGTGAGCCTGCTAGATGCAGACTGGCTGTTCCTCCTAGCTCGTCTCCTAATGGATGGTCAGTATGTAGCTTCCCTATGCTGCTTTTAACCCCTTCTCTGCCAATGTGGAGAGTGGGTGCTCCATCAGACAACCTTCCCCTTGAGACCATCATCCTGTGAGGGGGTGAGGGTGGGGAGGGGTGGGTGTGGAGAATTACCTCCACTGCTTCCCTAGTAGCTGGGCTCATAGGTATATTTCTACTGCCCTAGGTTCCTCCATGGTGTCCCTGAATTTCCCAGTCTGTATCTCTGCATCCTCTTACTCTACTTAAAAGCCAGTTCAATGTTTTTCCATTTCTCCCCTAGCCTGGGCCCTTGTTGTACTGGTCCCCCTGCACTCCTTCTCCTAGCATATGAGTTCCCAGCTCCCATACAACAGGTCTCCACATAAGTTCCCGCATCCTTCATCCGGACATTCAAGGGTCTCTTCCTTTTCTCCCATTTCTCATTTTTTTCCTGCTCGATCCCTTTGCCCTTCTCTAACACTAGGGCACACCCCTTTGGGTAACTGGCACCTCATAGCCCCTCTCTTCTTTGCTGTTCCCCATCACGGGCTCACACACACGCCCAGAGGAGCACAGCCCTCCACAGCATCTCATATTACAATCATAGCTCGTCCAAGCAGCTCCAACTAATGTCTCCACCATTCAATACAGCTGCACCTAAAACAGAAAATGCAGCCGGAGTGCATGCAGACAGGCGCAGATGACTGTTTTGCGGGGCCCCGGGCAGCATAACTCCGCGGGGCTCCCCATTTGCCACAACGCATGCGCAGGGCTTTTTTAAGCGCGGGGTCCGGGACGGCCGCCCTGTTCGCTCTGCCCTATATCCACCCCTGCATGCAGATCATTCTTAGTGGGCACTGCCAGCTCCTGTAGGCAGAGGAAGTAGAATGATCCTATATCTCAACTCTATTTCCTCCTTTTCAGAAGTTCGAGTTTTGCTGAACTTGATATTCAGCAAGGGCACAATGTATTATTGGGCATCTGTAACTCTGAGTGAAGAACATTTTGGATCAGTGAATAGTTACCGTGAATTCAGCCACTGGTTTAGTCTCCAATATTAGGTTTAGTCCACTGTTGTGTGTGGCCATTACATGTAAACAATCTCATTTCCTGTACTTTTGGGAGACCAAAATGAAAGTTAGGCATGCACAATATAATAGTGTGCAATCACTTGTGCACAGCTGCAAAGAGAGGAGGGACTTGTTACTACACCCAAACACTGCCCTCTAAATTACAATACATTTTTGAAGGTTCCTAGTGAGCTGAAAACCAAACATGGGAAAATGTTTTCCAAAACATCTAAGTCACTTAGGAGTCTCAAGTCCCATTTTCAAAAGTTAACACTTAACTTGATCCAGCGAAGTCTTTTTTGAAAGATTGTTCCTGGTTGCAGAGCGAGATGCCATTTGAGCTAGCTAAGGGCAGGCAGGGGTGCCAGCAACCACCAGCCAACAAAGGCGTGGGAACAACATACGTTGCATCAGCAACAATAGCTAGAACATTACAACATTATCAGTATTCTCAGTTCTAACAGCACCCTAGTAGCAGCCCAGTGAATTGCTGTGTGGAGATCAGTTTGGATTTGATACCAGGTCCTATAATCCTCCTGCATCCGCAGATCTGGAAAGGCTGCAAATTTAATCCTTCCAAGAGGATGAGGAAGAAAATTGTTCACATGGATTGGCAGTGAACAATCCATGGCCAACAAAGATGAATTCCACAGGGAACAACAAAGATGAATTCCACAGGGAACTGGCCTTCCTGAGCTGCCACAATGGGGGAAAATACCTGGGTGTGGAGATATAGAAAGGAAAAGAGGCATGGTCACTTTGAGCTAAGCTCAGAGGCAAATACAGTAGGTGGAAATTGAGATAAGGATTATTGCTCTGAAAAACAAGCGGTTCATTATTTACTGATGGATAGCATACATTTCTCTAGAATGAGTCATGTCGTGACGCTCTAGCAATCTGCAAAAGAATCAGGTGACAGTGTGCTTAATGTGCAGCTGCCTGGCTGATAGCAGCACAAATCACACTCCGAGTAGAGTTTGATGAGTTTGTGGTCCCATTAGCTTTATTGACAACAAATGGTGTTGCTCAAAATGGGAGAACATAAACCATCCGTCACAAACCTCCTGGATGTGCTGTGTGATTCATCTCAGCTGCTGGTCATGCATGGAACAAAGTCTACTATTCATACTATTGCACTGGGATAGGGCATCACCAATGGGGCATAAAAATGGCTGCACTTTCTTTTGCAGTTAGTGACAGACTTGTGTGTTGGTGTAACCCTTCTGCCAGGTGGTTAATGGCAGAAAAAAGGGCCCAATTCAACATATCTAGCCCCCTTCCCTTCCCAGATAAATAACTACACTGGCTGGAGCCTCAGCCCCAAAACTTGAGAAAACTGAATACATGCACTCTGGGTGGCCATAACTGGCAGAACTTCCACATTATCAAGCTTTTAGGTTGTGCAGGAACATGGAAATCTCTATTAGAAGCAAGGAACACAATGACAAACTAGAGAATACACAGACGCAGACAATATATGCAATTAAAAACTAAAATAATCTCCACCTCCCCAACTCCTTCCCAGTAACGGTAGCAGTAGTCTAACTCCTTTCTCTCTCTCCCACAGGTTGTAATCGCTTCATTGTACCACTTTACCCATGCTCCAAACCTCACTCATGGTTGGGATCCTCAAGGAGCAGTCATCCAAGTATCTCTTCTTCTCTTTCTCCAGTCTCAAGGGAGCTGCTTGCCAAGTCTCTCTTGGAGGTGCCAGCAACTAACCCAGCTGGTCCTCTGCTATAGCTGCCACAGTCTCCTTTTGGGAAGGAAAGGCACTCCATCTTTTGGTGGGGTCCAAGCCCATAAGGGCTCTACTCTGGGTGCTATAAGACACTGATCCCTGAAGACTTTGCACAGCGTGGGGCCGGCGGGGAGAGGGGATGTTTGCAGAAGCAGCTTTCTCAAACAAGAAGTGGCATGGAGACAGAATACAGACTCAGGATGGCTTTTGCAGAAGCTGCAGAAAGAATCAGCAAATCTCAGGCAATCCAGTGAGGGCCTCCCTACCCAGCAATCAATGAAGCTACCAAAGGATTAAGAGGTACAGCTCACGGAGCTGACCAAGTAGCACTTTCTATAGGAGCTGGAGAGAGACCTGCCCAAACTCTGGACTCTGACAACCCCACACAACAAATAGGGAGGAGATTCAGGGGAGAAGGAAAGTGATTATTGCAGGGACATAGTATTATGTTGGATGCTGTCATTGTGACTAGAGTACTGAGTTTAAGGTATACGGTATGTTGGGAGGTGGGAAAGTCTCTCTGGGTCTGTCTAGACTACAGGATTTTTTTTCGAAAAAAGTGGCCTTTTTTCAAAAAAACGTCCCCTGTGTCTAGACTGCAACCGTGTTCTTTCGAAATTAAATAGAAAGAACATGGCGGTGCTTTCAACAGCGGTAAACCTGATTTTACGAGGAAGAACACTTTTTTTCAAAAGTGCTGTTTTGAAAAAAGGCGTTCTTGAATGCAAACAGGGCTTTTTTGAAAGAGAGCATCCAGACTGCCTGGGTGCTCTCTTTTGAAAAAGCAGCTCACTTTTTCGAAAGAAGTGGTTGCAGTCTAGATGCTCTCTTTCGAAAGAGGCTTTTTCAAAAGATTCTTTCTAAATGTAGACTCTCTCGCTCCCCCTCCCAGACATATTGTTGTGGCAGAACTCATAGGTCAAGATTTATTTTTAAATGTGAGACTAAAATGAGGCTCAGAACCCCATATCTGGGCACATGGGGTAAAATGCTGGCCCCTTGGAGTTAATGTAATTTTTGCTACCTACTTCAATGGAGCAAAAGTTCACCACTCATTTTGCAAGATTAATGAACATTTGGGAGCACCCATGGACTTTGGAGGGTCATTTTGTTAAGACCTCCACTTCTGATGTCCATCCAACTCTTCTCCTTTCTCTTGACATGTTAAATTAAACTGGAAAACAAACAGACTCATGTAAACTGACCATTGTCAAGAAAAGCTGACTTATGAAAGGTAAAAACAACCCTCCATCAGTCCTAATAGGATGGACAAGAACATTTAATATGTCTTTCCCAGCTCTAATGTCTATTATTCTAATAATCAAATAGGTTTTCTTTTATTTGCAAAACACATTTGTGTTTGCTTATTTGGGAACACAGTAGTTAATTTCAGGTGCTGCATGAATAATTTATTATCCAGATGCACAGAATTAAAAGCAGTTTAAAAGCTATTCTTCAAGGAGAAGAGAAAATCAAATATATAAATATCCACTAATTGTGCAGTCTGCCTAGCATTAAAACCTGATGAAAAGCCAGACAACTTAAAATGTCTTTGATATGCTCTACACAGACTCATAATAATACTCAAAGCAAATAGAGTTGTCATATCAATGGTTTCAATCCCGACTTGCAAAAAACTGAAATGGCCTTTGGCTGTAGAGATTATACTAGAGATTATAATAGCTATAATATTGTCAGACGCGGGGTATACAAAGGAGGATTTTATGCATTGCATTAAAGTGAACAAAAAGTTTTCTTCAGATGCAGATTTTGAAAAACAGAAAAGTTTGTAGGTGACATTTTGACCATGTGACCAAAAGCCATGATGAAAAGCATGTAAAAAATTCATAAATGGAGAGAATAGAAAACATCTTTGGGGATAGGATGCAAAGAAACACACTGAGCCTCACTAGTGACAGACAGGGAAGAATTATTTAAGTGGAAGTGTGGGTGAATGGATGGCTGAGGAGGTTAATGAGTGGATAGAGAGGCTTCAGTGGTCAGATAAATGCTTCAAGGCCAGGCTAGCACGGTAATGAAGAAAAGTTATGCTTGTTCAGTCACATATGTGAAGAAAGTCGGTGGGTACAGTCAAGATCCAGGTTGACAGGTGGGCACATTGCAGTTGGCAGTCTCAGCAGTGTGGCCAGCAGTTGAAAGGTACGGAGACTGAATGAATTCGCACATTACAGACTGACAGTCCAAAATAAGAAGGCGGCATATCAGATGGGCAGGGCATTGGGAAGAAGCTTCAGCTGTCCATGTCCTATAGATAAAAGGGCAAGGACTATTTCAGGGTTGTCATTCCTTCACATTTCATCAACATTACATTCAACATACAATTCTACTAGAAAGCTAAATAAAGGAAAAGGAAATTCCAAGGGATACACCGAAAATACTATTAGTTAATATTCTGGGAATATCATAACTTTAGGTTCCAAATAGGATCAGGCCCCACATCACAGATATAGTAAAACAATTGCTGCTCCCCAAAAGTGTATAATTTAATACCTGTAGTGTCAGTTTGCCAAAGATTAGTCCTTAAATGAATGGCATCAAAGGGGGGGGATAATGTTACTGGCCTTCTTGTAAAGTGTTTTGAAATCTTCTAGTAAAAAGTACAGCCTAAGAGCTATTATTTTATATATATAAAAAAGAAGCCATTTTACAGGTTTAAAATGTGTGGTTGATGCTTTCTTCCCTTCCCAATTTGCAGCTGGACTCATGACAACAAGGCTCCTGGCTTTCAAGAGGAGGGTTACAAAAATTGCCAGTAAAAACTTTAAAATTCTCTAAAATATTTGTAAATTGGCTTTGTTTGCCTATTGTGGCACATATTTTATACATGGTGTGGTGTGCTACTATATAAAGCACTGCTTCCCAAACTTTTTGGCATCACGCCCCCCTTTTTGATGTTTGAAAAACTCTCATGCTCTGCCCCCACAAATAGCAGCAAAACTTGTTGAGCAAAAAAAAAAGAGACTTAACAAGGCAGCAAAACTTGATGTGGGGGAGGCACCCTGGAATTTCTTCACGCCCCCTCCAGGGAGGCACACACCCCAGTTTGGGAACCCCTGATATAAAGGATGTATTGCTATGTTCTTGGGATCACCTTCTTAATGCCCTCATGGTTTGCCATTTCTGAGCAAACATGTGCTGTTAAAACCTTTATGACTACCCCATCATACCTTCTCTGAAGAGCAAATCTTGCAAACATTGAGGTCCCACCTTTAAGCAGGAGCGAAGTCCCAATATGAAAACATCCATCTTTTCCTGATTAGACCCTCAGTTTCCATTCAGGCAAATTCCCATTGTCTTACAAATGAGTATGGGACTGAGCTACAAAATCTGGATCCATATCTACATTCCAGAAAAGTTCAGAAAACAGCAAGCTCAAGGGGTTTGAGTTGAACCACTCTGATTTAATGCTACAGCTGATTTGGCATATAAATCTTCCAGACGAGTTGGACTGCAGCAAAACATAGCTACTGCTGGCATTTAAGTTAATAACTAGAGGTGGTTGAATAATATTCATTGAATAATTTATTTGATTAATTTCATAATATTTTGATTAAATTATGTGCAAGTGGTATATTTCATTTTTACACACAGCTCTATTATAAATGCTATAAGTGCCATGCAGAGGTTGGTACATTTGTCTTTACAGTTTGGGTGTACATTAAAAGCAATTGATTTTAGGAAGATGTCTTCAGTTGTCTATATGATCCTTCATTATATCAAACATTTTAAGTAATATTATATTTTCATTTAGGAAGAACCTTGGCTGTAACATAAATAAATGTGTTTTAAGAGCGACAGCGGTAGTTATGAAAATAAATTCTTTAAAAGCAGACACCTCTGGCAGTTCTTGAGATAATTGAGTTGGCTGTGGAAATGAGTATTTGGCTGCCCCAGGAAGAAATATCTGTGAAACGAAATGACAGCTTGGATCCATGTAATATGATCTCTCCCTTCATAAAAATTTACGTTTCATTTTATAACAACATTTTTAAAACCTAACTTCAGCAATGTGTAAAACCCACTCTTAAATTATCTATTCAGTTGATTGAAATGTAATGGAATCCCAGAAATTAGGTCATTCCATCCTCCTCCTGTGGCAGACAGTTTCTAGAGCATATGCTCTAACAGCTTTTGCAACCACATAAGTAAATCTGGAGAGTAGGGGACAACAAAAAGAGCAAATGGGTAAGATCTGGTGCCATTTTGAGTGGGACATCAACACAGAACAAAAGCCTGGCAAGAAAAGGGCAGAGACACAAACATCCTGCCTTATTCCAGTCCATTTCGCTGCTCCCATGTGGTCTAGTACCTCAGTCCCATAGTCAATGATTCAAGCAATGGGGCTTCCAGAACTTTCCTTTACAATCAGATTCATTTTTTCATTCTACGTATAAAGCTTTTAATGTTCGGAAGAAAGGGATTCCGCCATCACTTATCCATATCCTGACTCTTACCATTCAGGAAGGACTGGATAGTGTTTATGATTAATCCCCTTTCCCTTCTTTTTCTCTTCCAGTGTTTCCCTTCTTACTATCCTCCAGTGTACCATCTTAATCCCGAGGGATATCTTGACCAGACTGGGTCAGAAGGATCCAGGTGACTCTCCTACCCCTACCAGTTCCAGCTTAACCCCAACCACTACCTGAAATAAAAGGGGACCAACTTGAACAGCAGCATCAACAATAGCTT